GAAAATAATAACGAGGTCAACGTGACTACTGAGTTGATCTTTGACAGCCGATTATTCCCACCTCCTTGTTCTTCTATATCTATCCAATCGGCGGAATATAGTTAGCGAGCTGTTCGTGAGGCCAACAGTGATAGTAAATGAATCGAAGCCCGATAGCTGTGTAAGAGCTTTTCCACTGATCGGGAAGAATATTCTTTTAACATAAGGGGAATAACAAAGAGAGAGAGAGAGAGAGAGAGAGAGAGAGTGTGTGTGTGTGTGTGTTCTACCTCGCAGATTCCAGATCTCAGAGCAGAATGAGTATCCAGTCGTTGATCTCAACCACGAAGGTTCTGCAGAACACCGATGGATCGGGTGAGTATCTGTTTCGGGGAGAATAGAAATTATGTATAACATAAGTTACAAGATAATGTTCAAGTTGTAGACTTGTATTTTCGTCGTGATTTTAAACAAAAATTCGTCTCTCCGTTCGAGGGAGAGACAGAGGGAACGCTAACGAAGAACTAATCTATCCCGGGATTTCCAGGGGAAAAATAGTAGAAGTTGTAGGTAACATTAGAACGCAATACGGTTTTATAAATTTGGACAAAGATCCCTAGATCTCTAAAGTATCCTCGACAAGTGTCTGGCACATCCTCCAGGAGAATACAGAATAAGATAGATAAGAAATATAGATGAGAATTTGTAATATAATATTAGAACACAAGTTACAATACGGTTTGATCAATTTGAACAAATCTCTAGATTTACAAGATATCTTCGACTAGTGTCTAGTATAGGAGAATCTCTCCTCGAGCGAGCGAGCGAGAGAGAGAGAGAAAACGCGAAGAATCGGCGTTCTTTTATCGTCGCCCTCCGCGTTGGAAGCTAATCTTCTCCGGGTGTTTTTTTCTAATAACCGAGGCGCGTATTTGCCACGCGTTTTATCCGGTAATTCGATTCCCGGGTGTTGGAACATTTTCGCTTGCCGGCGCGCGATTAACGACGACGTGCCGGTGGCGTGGTAAGAGTTTCCGCGAACGTCGAAATTTCATTGTTAAAGGAGGTCCATGGATAACAGCCATTACTTTAATCGAATCTTGTTCGACGCAGCTGCTATTTTCCAGATGCATTCGCAGCTACAGAGTGTTGACGTATAATTAAATACGCCAGAGAGAGAGAGAGAGAGAATTTTCGTACTGAGAATACTATAAATAAAATAGAATACTATAAATAAAATTGTTCCAGGATTGATCGAAATTAACTAAAGGTTTTTTGTTTTCAGCTTTGAATAAGAAATTCTGTATTTGAGGTTATGATCATGTACAGGGTGGGCTTGAAACTTTCTTCTTGCTTATTTCTCTTCTTTCTAATAGAGCATCAAAACATAAGGAAAGATCAATTTTATTAATTGTAAGTTACATTTAAGTTCGAACATTTGGGATTTTTTTCATAAACGTTTTGAAAATTATTTCTTTCAAATGTTGAAAGAAGAAAGTAATAAAGAATTTAGTAGGATTTTTTGGCCCTCCCTGTGTAATAATATAATATATGTAATAATATAATATATTAATATATTATATGTATTATTATATAATATAAGAATAATATATTATGTCAGAAAAGTAGAAGGATAATAAATTGTACACACACTATACTATGGTTCAATTTAAATAAATTAAACAATATTATATAATACATATAATAACTATATTTCGCATAAAAAAAATATTTAGAAGCTGTGTAATACAATTTCAGAACTTTTAAAAGTACAGGAAGTAGTTAGAAGTTTAGAATTGTAAAACGTTTAATCTAAAATTAATATATTCAATGTCAGTATTTCCTGTAACTATTGAATTTTTTAATATCGATGGCCAATTATCTGTTCCTCATGAAACTTAATGAAAAATTAAATTAAAGAACTTCTAAAATTCTTATTTTTTTATATTTTACAAGTTCTATCACTTTTATTTTTAAGACAACTTCTGTTGCTCTTATTTTTTTTTTTTTACCTCTTCAAGAAAGTTCTATTTATGCTTCAAGTAATTTGCAGTTTTAAGAGATCCCTGATTGAATTACACTGTTGAATGGAAAACTGGTCTCAGTGATAAAATTTGGTACACAAAGAATGTTTCTTTGAATGAAAGAAAAAGAATGGCAAATCAATATTGACTCTTAAGTGTTCTTTTTGAAATATTCGTCTAAGATAATCATTTTCTGAAATATGATTTATTATTCCATAGTCAAGAACTTTCATCATCTAGCCTAAGATGTTAAGCAAAATTATTCTAAATGTAAATAACCATGAAACAACTTCGTCATCAGAATTTAAAAGCAATTTATAATGTCAAGCTATTCACTTTCACTTGTAAACTTGCAATGTTAAAACTTTGGTGTTTTTCGAGCTTCAAACCTTATTTATATATTGTATTAATCAATGGAAAAAAAAAGTATATAGTGTAATATATATCATATATATTATATAGTATAATTATACTATAGTATAATACAGTATATATTATTAATATTAATATAGTATATATAGTGTGTCTCAGGACAAGTGGTATAATTGAGGTGAAAAATGAGTCGAAAAGAAGGAATAAAATTTTTTTATTAAAAATTTATCAAGTGTACTTGAATTTAACTAACTAACTAAAAGTATAACTAAGGTTATTCTGCGTGCGAAAGTAAATAAAAGAACATTGAACAAAATTTGTTTGCAAGATGCTTCGTTTTTCAAGTTTGAAAAATTGAAAATTTACTGAAAAGTATCAAAGCACTTTTCAACGAAACGTATTCAAAATCTATTTTCTTAAAAATGAAGAAGCACTTTGAAAACGAAAAAATTTTATTCGACATTATATTCACTCGTTTTCTTTTCACTTACTTCAATTAAAGTATCCCCGTGTCGATTATTCGCGCTAACGCGAAATCAATCAAATTCAAGTATATACTCGAGAAATTTTCAAACTCGAGTCTTTCCTTCGAAAACAAATTTTATTTTTCCTTTTCTCGATTCACCTCCAATTTATCCCACCCGCTCTGAGACACTCTGTATAGTCCATCCACAATCGCCAAAGAGTGTTTCCAAA